CGTCCAGCTCTGGGGCACCCAACATAGCAGGGACATGGGCCTGTTGGAGCGGGGCCAGAGGAGACCACGGAGGTGATCCGAGGGCTGGAGCACCTCGGCTGTGAGGAGAGGCTGAGAGAGTTGGGGGTGTTCACCCTGGAGAAGAGAAGGCTCTGGGGAGACCTTATAGCCCTTTCCAGTCCCTAAAGGGGCTCCAGGAAGGATGGGGAGGGACTCTATCTGAGAGCGGAGTGATAGGACAAGGGGTAATGGCTTTAAACTGAAAGAAGGTAAATTTAGGTTAGATATTAAGAAGAAATTCTTTACTCTGAGGGTGGTGAGACACTGGCACAGGTTGCCCAGAGAAGCTGTGGCTGCCCCATCCCTGGAGGTGTTCAAGGCCAGGTTGGATGGGGCTTGGAGCAGCCTGGGGCAGTGGGAGGTGTCCCTGCCCATGGCAGGGGGGTTGGAACTAGATCATCTTCAAGGTCCCTTCCAACCCAAACCATTTTATGATTCTATGTAAACGGCATTCTTGGCCTCCACCAGCTCCTACAGTAATGTTTCCACAGCTGGCGTTGGAAGAGCCCATTTTATTCCATATTACATAGAGAATTGCCATGTATTCTCTTGCCACAAATATTTTCTGACAACAATTTGGTGTTTTCATAGGACCTTTCCGTCAGACCCTGAACAGCTTTCGTTTTACCCACCCGCTACCCAAAGATGACGTCAACCCCTTCACGCAGGTGGGTGGGGTGGCACGTCATGCACTGCTGTGGCAGAAAACATTTCTTTTTCTGCTAAAGTCTGCACAGAAAACACTTTAGCATACAGATGAAATAACATGTTCTTAGTATTGTATTTACTACCTTTTATACAACATCTGACAGGATTGATCTTGAACTATTTTGTATTTACACCACCCGTTACCATGCTTGATCAAAGAAAATAACAAAGCTGGGACTGGAGACACAGAATCTGTAAACCTATGCCCAATACCAGCCTTAGCAAAGAAGTTTTACGAATGTTCTCAGAAACTAGCCATCTGTTCTCAGTGATGGCGAGCCCTTGCTCTATTATGTCCCCTTTGCTTTAGGGCAGAAATTCGGAGTGAAGAATACTTGCAGAAGGTAAATCATCTTAGTGTCATAACACACGTGATGACATTCCGTATGAACTTTCTGTTTACCACCCAGGTTTCTTCACACAGTATCATTCCAGATTCCTGTATCGCCATGCAGGTGCTCATCATCCTTTGACCCATTAAGAACAGTTGTCACTGCCATTGCCAGTTTGTGACTTCGATGTTCAACACTGGTATTTTCAGCTGTAATATTTAGTTTAAGACATCAGCTAATTCTGCTTTTAAACACCAAAACATTTTTGTCACAGGATTCACTAAATAGTTTTGAAATAAGTCATCTACAGTAAGCTGTGAATTCCGCTTTTGATTATACAGTTCTAATCTGCAATATCAAATGAACTATCAAACAGGCAGAAATACTGTCCAGGTTACATAGTTAATAGTTTAAACATGCAGATAAAATGTTCTACAAGAATTCTAATATGATGAGTTTTCCCTAGAAAAGAAAGTCACCAATTTAAAAAAACAGAGAAGAAAGATTCTTAAAATGAAAAGAAGAAAAAATTGCCACTAATTTTAAGCTAATTTAATTAGCTCAAAGGTTAATTGTTATCTTGAGGTGCCAATTATGAACCTAAAAGGTGTAAACATATATTCAGGTAAATGAAATCCTCCTTAGACAAATAGTTCATGTAATAATGGGCAGGATGGACTGGAAGAAATGGGGGGAAGGGACAAAAAGAAAAAGCAACAGCAAAACCAAACCCCAACTTGTCTGAAATTAATCCAGAATTCTTCATATCCAGCACCAAACAGTCTTTCCTTCTAAAAACCGCATGTGATATGGTACTTACCTAAGAGAAATCAAAGAGAGGAAAAAAAGGTGACTAAGAAAGGATTAAAAACAATTCAAACAGAAACAGAACATTTCAAGTGTTCTCAAAGAAGTCAGCCCTTGTGGTTGACTATGCAGGAAGTGGAGTTACTTAAAAGATGCTTATGTGCTACCAATGCTGTAACACTGATTTCCTTTTTCTCTGGCACTGTAACTACTGGAGGTAAACCTCAATTACAACAGCAGTCAAATTTTTTCTATAAAGCTAAAATTTCAAGTCGTCAACAGATTTTTGGGGGCAAAATAAGTCCTCTTGTGCAGGAATCAAGACTTAAGTACTTACTAAAAACTTTGTCTACTAAATTTTATCTTCATATACGACAGATTGTTTAGTCCTTGCAGTAACTGAAAACATTTGAGTATTCACATTCTGAACAGACAATAGCGAAAAAGAATGGTACCATAAAACTCACCAGAATTTCCTTTGTATGCAATACCATGCTGACTTAATAAATCTTGAAGTCTCTTTATTTCTTTTGAAAGTTGCTGGTATTCCTAAGAAAGAAAATACATTTAAAATGGCTCTCCCACTCTCCAAATGCATACATAAAATGGCAGTTCATAAAAAACAATGGGTCTGTGCACAGCTGTTACAGCTTTTGACTTAAAAGATCTTAAACTGCTTATTCCAAGAACAAGGTGCAAATTTTATAAAAAGATACATTTCTATGTTACCAAAACAGGACCCAGCTTTTTCCAATCCTAAGAGTAAAAATTATGAGTGCTTTCTGTAACTATTTTGGATCTATCCTCTAACTAGCATTTTATCGCAGCACAAAATTGCATTCCTGAGTTTGCTACTGGACCAGCCTTATTTTATTTTACATCATAATGCCTGGAAATTGTCACCTCCTCAACTCTTGCCCTAGAAACTTAATGTTCTCACTTTCAGCAGTTTCTGTTAACTTACAGAGCCAGGGATTGCTTAGTACTTTTGAGACTCAAACCACATATGGGAAATCTCAAAGAAGCCCCAATTTTTTATTGTAGTTTGGTTTTTACACAAATCAAGAAAGAGGAAAAGATTAATGATTTAAGATTCTTTGGTTGCCTAAACAGCCAACTTTATGTCAATTAAGCTACAATGAAGCCAGAAAAAGAAGTACAAATTATTAAATACTGTATTGTTAACTACTGAAAAAAAAAAAAAGCTGGAATATTCCAGCTCCTAGCAGTACCACATCAAAATGGCAATCTTTATGTAAGTATATTCAGCTTAACCACAGTTTATTTGGTTATATCCAGGAAATACTATGTGGTGTTTTGTCTTTGCTACATTTTCAAATAAAATGACAACAGCAGCTGTTTCTCTGCGTTACAATGCATTAATTCCCTTCCATGCTCTTTTTCTGATGTGCAGCTTTGCACGCTTTTAGGCTGAGCATACCTTCTACCTCTTCTTCCCCTGTTTCAATTCTGTTGCAGAAGGGCTGTTCACACACATAAAAGCCACTCAGAAATAGACGCAGCATAGAGCATTCAGCCTTGTGCTTGTGTAACAGCCAACGCGTTCCTACACGTCTCAGCAATTGTCCACAGAGAGAAGTGTCAACATTCCCAAGGCTGGTTACGCATTTATTTTCCCTAGGAATTCCTTCCTATTTCCAGACTGAAAGAGTACTTACAAGGTGTCCATAACCCAAGCACCTACACCAATTCCTACACCACCACCCCCCCCCCCATCTTCTTGGGAATTCAGGTGGGGTAGTGTGGTTTTGATTTAAGGGCTAGAATAAAGAGAGCAAATCACTCTGTATGCAGACTGTTACATATCGAAACCAGAAAAGATAATCCCATGAACAGATGTCAGCTGAATCCAGACAGTATTTACATAATGCTGTCACACTGATACTGTCATACAATAAAAAAGTGGCAATTTAATTCAACATTGTAAATATTACGCTCGATACCTTACTGCACTTCTCCACTGTTTCAAATTCCAGACTTATTTTCTTGTTCTGTTTCTCAACTTCTGTTTCTTCTGTTGCTTTTAGAAGTCCTGCTTCTTCAAAAATCTCTTTCAGTATTTTTTTGTATCCCTAAAAAAGAAAGTTTCCAAAAGATCAATCCACCTGACTCTCATCTCTGCTTGTAATTTGCACTGGCCATTCCAATTTCTCAAGCTTCACTATTGAAAACGTTACAATTACCAGCTGATATAGCAGTTACAGAGCACAAAAATTACTATTTGCCAACTGCAGAACAAATACATCCATTGGAAAAGGAGAAACCGCAGAAGCCAGGTTTGGCTATTTGACAGTAATTGGTCTTTACCAAATAGAGTTGGAAGACATTAACAAACCTGGTCAGTTATTAGTTCATCATAAAGAAGCTGCTCTGCTTCATCCCACTTCCTTTGTAGTGCTTCAGTCAGAGTTGGATAAACTGAAAAATGGAAGACAAACCATGTAAAAACCAACAGCACTGTCCTGCATTAATTAAATGCTCCTCAAGTAGCATGCAAGTATATTTGTTTTAAAAACTCGGTGTTTCTATACAGTACATAGTATCTACTGCTTTTAAGAGCTGGGGTTAAACTTAAATTTCACTTCACACATTTATAGTTTCTGGAGAATGCCAACAAACAAAAATTTTTCTCTTATTTTTATCTAGAAGGCCTCATATTTCTTTGTTGACTGTAATTCTAACTGAGCTCTCCCTTTTTCTAATGTAAGTAAATGAGCAGATAGTAGAGGGCTGATTCCTACGACCAGTCCAAGAAAACAGCAAAAAACCAGTCACTGGGTCTATACTAGCAATGCCAATTTATTTGAGAAATACCTATGTGTTATAATGACTGTGATTCAAAATAACTTCGTATTCTGTGTTACATTTAATACTCACTTATATCAAGTTACAACTGCAAAGAACCTAAAAATTTACACTGTGAGGTTGGCATAATACGCCAGCTGCTCCGTACAAAAAAGATTTTCTAGGTCTTACCTAAAAGAGAGTGGGGATGGCACACGAGAGGAGTCTCAAATGTCAGAGAGTAAACACAAGTACTCGGCTCAGACACATAAGCCAATTTATTGCTCTTCCCACAAACAAGATGAACCTAAACATGAGTAAAAACAAAGATGAGTGAAACACCTCCACATGAAACGGGACTGATGATCAATTTGCTGTCTTCCAACGCTAGCAGATGCATTTCTATACACACCATGATGTCAAAGCTTCCAGTGCTGTCACCCGCAGAAGAAGAATCATAGCAAGCACATCTTCAAATTATTTTATTGAAGGTGAAAATTGCTTCCTAACGGAAAATGATCCCTGCACCTATCATTGCTCCTTGGACTCCCAACCACCATATTTCCAGCAAGAATGAGAGTAAAAAGGAGGGTGAACAGGACACCCTTTAGTACCTTAATAATTTTTAGTTCTGACCAATGTGCTAAAGAGAACAATACACATCCAGCCTGCAGAAATTTGCTTTCATCTCTAAATTTGCAGCCCTGGTATTTTCTGTCTATCCAAAACTGAACGTCAGTGAAAGACTTGAACCACAATATCAAAGGTCATACAAGAACACCAATTCTTTCTGCAGCCTCTACAGCAGATAAAGATGTTAACAAGGCACCTCCATTACAGTACAGAAAATTTTCACCTTGGCCAAGATATTTTGTCCCTTATCCCATCTTCACATTAGTTATTATTCCAACTATATATCCCTCTCTCGAGTATTGTATCGTCACCCATCACTGCAATAGCTAAGGATCTTCTGCACGATAAGCAGCCTGTTGTGGACTATACGGTATCGTTAACCCTTCTTCACGAAAGCGATCTACATCACCAGAGAGTGTGAGGTTTAATTAATTGTATCTGTAAAACTGTAACACACTGAAATGGGTGGTGGAAAGAGAAAAACATTAATGAATAAAAGGATAAAGGATGTGCGCAAATGATGTGGCATACATCGGGCAGGCCTCAGACACCCTTCCTTACCCTTCTAGTTGAATAGTTACTTGGCACGGAGACTGTCTGAATGTGAAAAGGAACATTTTAACCGCTCCACAGTTTTTACTTTTTCTTTAAAATGTACTCACACCAGAATCTGTTTCTCTTGTGTTGGTTCCTCTACCACTCCATATGCTTGATTCCTTCCTTAATTCTCCTCACGTGCCCTCTGCTCTTCTTTTAATGCCTTACTTAGCTTCTCCGCACACCGCTGTTAACTGCCTAATTCTTTTCCCTCCTTTTTCCTGGATGTTCTTAGCACAATAGGTTGCCATCTTGAATTCAACAAATACCTCTTTTCCCTTATTTTTCCTGACACAAATTACAAAGCACTGTATGTTCCTACAGTAGCGATAATACCAGAATATTCCACTCTCTCAAAGAAAAAAAGGAGTTAAAAGTAACCAATAAGAATACATAAGTAAACTTCTTCAAAATTTTATCCTGATTTTAGCTTCCCTCGTCCATCCATTCACCTAGCTCCTACAAGGAATCCATCTTCATGTACTATATCTCATCTTAAATGATGACTTCTTCGAGGTAGGAATGTTTCAGTCTGTAGTGTCCTAAGTCATGCTGTGGGCATTGGCATAGTCTAGGTTACGATACCTTTGTCTGTCGGCTCTTCGTTTCACATGAGTCTCCTTCCCTCATCCACATTCCAACAAATGTGTTGTTGTCGATTTCCCATTCGTGCCAGATTCTGAAAAAACAGGACATCATTTTAGTTTAAGTTACTGAAAAGAAAAAGGTGAACAGTCAGGAAGAAAAACAGGAATACCCTTACAGCGTGTTACAGTTTATCTGTATATATTTCATTTTTATTGTCTTAGTATTTCCATTTCTTACAGCCAAGACCTTATAAACGGAGCAGTTTGTTTTTCAGGCTGCGCTATGGGGCACTTTGAGAGCACAGGTTTGGATCAGCTTTCAGTTTGCAGACCATTTGCACTTACAAATCCATGTTTAAATCCAATAAAATACAGCTTATACATCAATCACAACAAATTCCACAATGCTAACTACCCTGCGCAACTCAGATTGCTTGCAGGATTTTTAGTGCTGGTGAGAGCACCTACAAAAACTAGTCTTTACTGCTGCTAGTCCAAAAGCCAGTGACACTCTCAGCATGTAGAAGTACCCTTTTCCTCTCACATTGGCTCAGTAATTATTGTGCACATCGGGAAAAAAAAAAAAAAGAGACATCTATATACAAAATATTTAAAAAGGCAGTGATTTTAAAGCGGTGCTCTGGTTTATAATTAAATGTATTTTAGGTCTTATGGTTTGGATGCTCTGGGGTCTTTGAATACTTTGGGATACTTTTGGGGGTCTATACTGAGTCTTTATTATCGTTTATTAAATACGTTTAACACAACAACTAGGCATAAAGCGCTCATTTCATTTTGTAAGGTTATATTCAACTCAAAGTGAAAATAGTTAAGAGACATGAAATCTTTGTTAATATAAGCTGTAGTTACGCGTTATTGAATTTCTCACATGAACTTGTCACACCCGCAGCTGCCACTGGTTATTAATCAGCCTCCAGCCAAAATCGGAGGTTAGTATTTATCAACCAAAAAATCTGAATTTTTCAAGAGAGGGTATTTTTACACACACCACCTTGGGAATTACAATGACCTACGCTGACCAATAAAAGACGACTGCCTGCTCTTTGACAATCTATAAAATGGTCTGCTAACAATATAAGTAAAACTTAAAGGTCTAAAAGCCTCACCCTAGAATCCCACTATATGCATTCCATCGAAAAGTCTGCTCATGCTGAGTGACATTATGGAAAGGACAAAACTCATACTTGTACCTTAAAAGAAAAAAAAAAGAAAAGAAAAAGTAAGAAATGTTTCAGACTGCAATAAAAAACTAGTTTGTTCCTAATAAATATACAGAATCAAATATCCAAATCCATTACTCACGTGGACTCCACAAAACTGAAACACTTGCCAGCAAGCCTAAAGAGATGTGCAGGGCCTAAAAACACCACAAAATGGCATCAAGGAAGAATAATGTTTTGGTTAAATTTAAGCAAGATACTGTGGCAACAAAACTGCAAAGGACTATGTGACAAATTTAGTTTTCTGCTGTACATAAGGACATTTTTATCTTCCATATGGATTACTGCAAGTTCCCACGAGTGCTATACTGGTTTGCATCATGATCTTTAAAATTTTTTATCTTCAATACTCAGTGCAATAGATCAGCCTCTTTCTATGATGAAATAAGAACCCTGTATATAAACAGCTATTTGGAGGCCAGATCCATAGAAGGTATCATCGGTGCAGACCCTGCCAAAAAGCTAACATGGAAACGACCAGAACTCTTGCTTGGCAGCTGTCTGTCCCCAAAGTCATCCAAACTCCTCAAGTTTATACTGGTAAAGCCCATTTGCTCAGAACCTCCACAGTGCTGCGTATTTAAGTATTGCCAAGATTCTCTAACTAGACATTCCTTTCCACAGTTTGCCTTCGTGGTCTGATCTGGTTAGCGTTCAACAAGATAAACCTTTTACGGTCAGCTGGGTCAGCAGTTACAATTCTGCTCTTGTAGAACTGACCATTCCAGCCTTGCTGTCAAAGGAATCCAAGACATAATTTGCCATTCACAAAAGGGCCAAAAGTTCTGAACAATGGGCTACAGGGGTATTTCAGCGTCCCTTGTTTAAGGTAATTTTGCATGGAACGATTAATTATTTGTGAGGAAAGGAGAAGAAAAGAGATTACAAAGCAAATAAAATAAAAACCCATGCTGGATTCTAATTCCCCACTACCAGGATTGCCTGTGTACTTTTCCCAAAGACCTAAACACGCAATCCTAGAAACAAAAACCAGAGCACCAGAATCATGCCCTCTGCAGTGCCCTAACCACAGGGATACAGGCAGGTTCCGTTTCCCAGGTGATTTTCCTGACTGTATGATCTTGCATTCCATTCTACAGATGACCATAGGCTTGGCCAAAGGGTTTGCCCCTCTACTACGTGCAGTCTGCACCTTAGGGATGAGGATGCTCAACCCACAGAGGAGGAGAAGCAAATCTGAACATCCCTGAGGAATGCATTAGACTCATGCCTCCATTTCTGTATAGGAACTATTACCCCAACTCTCTTGTAAAGGAGGAGAACGAGCAAGGTTTCCATGCTAGAGCAGTAACTGCGCAAGACAGGGTTCCATGCCCTAGATGCCAGTTCCACAGGCACTCCCAGTTTTTGGCTATGCAGAAGTTCCCACATCCAGGAACGCAGGATTTCTAGCGTACTGTCCTTTTAACATTTTTTCCTGCTATTTTTGGCATCTTTCCATCCAGCATTCTAAATATTACTAATCCCATTTCTAACTATTTCACTTTTCACATGCAGAACGTGCAGAATTTATACACTTGATCTGGGTTTACAAAACGTGACAGAAGACATTAAGCATAATCCTGTTTGATGTCACCACACCAAAATGCCCTTATTGACCCTGAACACGGGTCTGCCTAAGGTTAGCAGAGACTACACTTACTTCCGTTTGCTTACTGTTTGCATTCAGTGTTTATTTTATCTACTTTCCTCCACATAGGTCTAGAATTTTTTAGATTCCTGTTTATTTCACTAAAGCGGTGGATTTACATTGCAGCACCCAGACTTTGTGTGTGAAACCGAGCCTCTGGGACTTGTTCTAAGACTACTCTTAGGGCTTTTTTAAAAACAATTTTTGAGTATTAAGCACTCTCAGATGATGGGATGACTTTTATATGATGCTCTCAAGAATGTCAGGGATTGTTTCAAGGAGTGAAAAAGGTTTTAGTAAGGATCGGAAGGATCTGCAACTGGCTCAGAAAACACAGAACAAAACATATGGGTAACGCCGTGGCAAAAACAGTCCACACAGCAGTGGGAACACCAAAGGGTTCATAACCCTTCAGAAGCACAATAAGATACATTTGCCCGTGCTGATTTTCCACAACGCTCATAAAACAACAAGTAAAATCCATCTTCGCACACAGCCCAGGCGGGCTGTTTAGCAGATGACTGTCGCCAAACGATGAGAACTGTACAGAACAGGTAACGCACACACCTGATACTGCCGACGGGGACACCTTCGGCTGCAGCCTATTTGTTTGAGGCAAGAACGGGTTATTCAACCTTTCAAAAGAAGGAGAGTTAAACGTTTAAGACGGAGTTGTGCATCGGGTCGTGCTGACACCCCCCGTCCCCGCGTGTCCCCC